TTCTTTGTCTATGATGATATTATGACTATTGTCCATGATTAACCTATCATTCACATATAGACACACAATTATATAGCACTTAGGTGTTTTATTTTTTTTTGTATACACATTTGTCACACTCCTTAATTTTAAAATTATTTGACAACATCATTTTTTCAAACTTTTGATGTCGTTACTTTGGAGCTTGCTTCAACCTATATAGAGACTTAACGAGTTTGCATACCTTCTTTTTTTAGTTAGGAGCAATAATATTTTCATATTGCTCCATATAAATTTCTTCTTATAACTCACCATTCAAAAATTATGTTTTTACGTCCATTCGATGAATCTTAAGGTTATGCAATGTAGCAATTGCAATTAACGCTCTTATCAAAGTGATAGGTATCAAGGAAATCAGGACCTTCATTTTGTCTATAGCCATTTGCAAACAACCTAGCCTTGTATTTATCAATGGATCAATCCAATTTTACTTTCTTCTCAAAAATCAATTTACACCATAAAAGCTTATTTCAAGGTGGTAGATCAACCAACTCCCTAGTATGTTTTTGCATTATAGATTGATAGCCTCTTTCCATTGTGGTGCTTATAGAGCATACATTGTTTCATTAAATATTTTAGGATCATTTTCTACCATAAAAGTTAGAAATCGATATGCGCTACTATTATTGACATATCCAATAAATATTCAATCAATTATCTTAGGACCAATTTTTACTTGTTTTGGCTTTGGTATTTTAACTTTAGCCAAACACCCCCATATTTTTAAGTGTTTATAAGAAGGATGATAATCATTCCACAATTTATATGGAGTTTCATTAATTTTCTTTAGAGGTATTTTATGAAGTTGTGATTTGCTGAAAGTATGGCTTCCTTCCGTATGTTTTGGGGTAAGCCCGAATTTACCACTATCGTATTCATCATCATCTTAAGAGTTCGATTTTTGCATTCAGCAACACCATTTGATTGAGGTGAGTATGATATCGTTGTTTGATGTATGATGCCAAGTTTCGAACAAAAATCTTCAAATGGTGCCCCATATTCTCCTCATCTATCACTTCGAATATTCTTTATTCATTTACTAAGTTGATTTTCAGCTTTCATCTTATAATGTTTGAAAATATCTAGAGCCTCATCTTTGCTTTTCAGCAGATAGACATAATAATACTTTGTGCAATCATCAATAAAAGTAATGAAATACTTTTTTCCACCTTACGTTTGCACTAACTTCAAATCACAAATATCGCATTGTGTTAATCCTAAATAGAGGTGTCAATCCGGGTGGTCCGGGTTGGGACGACCCGCCAACATATGAGCTCGGTAACGCCATGCGTAAAAAAAAGCCAGCCCGCTATGGGTTCCGGGTCGACCCACAAATTTTGAACTATAACCCAGGCCCACCCGCTGACCCATGCAGGTCAAGCTCATGCGGGTCACGGGTTGCCGATTGTTCATATTTGACCCGTATTATTGTATAAATAAAATTATAAAAATATAGAATTTTCCATATTTATAGCAAAAAATATTTTTTTTGTTAAATATAAACTAAGAATTGAAAAAAATGAAATATTCATATTCATACCAAGAAATGTTTACATAGAATCCAAATTTAATATTACATGAATTATTTATAACTTTTCAAAGTT